AATGGGTGCTGTACCTTATCAAATGCTTTTTCTGCATCTATCGATATGATCATGTGATTTTTGTGTTTACTTTTGTTTATGTGATGTATTACATTTACTGATTTGCAAATATTGTACCATCCTTGCATCCCTGGAATGAATCCCACTTGGTCAAGGTGTATGATCTTTTTAATGTATTGTTGGATGCGGTTTGACAATATTTTGTTGAGGGTTTTAGCGTCTATGTTCATCAGTGATATTGGCCTGAAGTTTTCTTTCTTTGTTGTGCCTTTATCTGGTTTTGGGATTAGGATGATGTTGGCCTCATAAAAAAAGTTTGGGTGTCTTCCATCCTTTCGGATTTTTTGGAATAGTCTGTGAAGGATAGGGGTTAGCTTTTTCTTAAGTGCTTTGTAGAATTCTCCTGTGAGACCATCTGGTCCAGGGCTTTTGTGTGTTTGGAGTTTTTTGATTAGTGCTTCAATTTCATTTGCTGTTATTGGTCTGTTCATGCTTTCTGCTTCTTCTTCATTAAGTTTTGGAAGATTATATTTTTCTAGAAATTTGTCCATTTCATCTAGGTTTTCAAATTTCTTAGCATACAGTTCTTTGTAGTAATTTCTTATAATCCTTTGTATTTCTGTGGTGTCAGTTGTAATCTCTCCTCTTTCATTTCTGATTGTGTTTATTTGGGTCTTTTTTTTTTCTTGAGTCTGCTTAAAGGCTTGTCTATTTTGTTTATCTTTTCAAAGAACAAGCTCCTGGATTCATTGATACTTAGATTTGTGCTTTTAACCTCTGTGTCATTTAGTTCTGCTCTGATCCTGGTTATTTCCTCCCTTGTAATTGCTGTGGGCTTTGTTTGTTGTTGTTCCGTGTGTTCTTGTACATGTAGTATTAGGTTGTTATTTTGAAATATTTCTGTCTTTTTCAGATAGGCCGGTGTTGCTATGAACTTCCCTCTCAGGCCTGCCTTCGCTGTGTCCCATAAGTTTTGGGTTATTGTGAGTTCATTCTCATTTGTTTCCAGAAACTTTTTGATTTCTTCCCTAACTCCATTCTTGATCCATTCATTGTTTAATAGCATGCTATTTAATCTCCATGATTTTGAATGTTTTGGTTTTTTTTTTCCTTGGGGTTGATTTCTAGTTTCAGTCCCTTGTGATCTGAGAAGATGCTTGGTACGATTTTAATTTTCTTGAATTTGTTGAGGCTTGGTTTGTGTCCTATCCTGTGGTCTATCTTTGAAAATGTTCCAATGATGCATTTGAAAAGAATGTGTGTTTAGCTTCTTTGGGATGAAGGGCTCTATAAATATCAGTTAAGTTCATTTCATCTAGGGCATTGTTCAATGCCACAATATCTTTGTTGTCATTTTGTTTGGAAGATCTGTCCAGTTTTGACAGTGGGGTGTTAAAACCCCCCAGTATAATTGTGTTGCTGTCAATATCTTTCTTGAAGTCCTCTAAGATTTTCTTTATGTATTTGGGTGCTCCTATGTTGGATGCATATATATTTACAATGTGTATATCTTCTTGGTGGATTTTTCTCCTGAGTATTATGAAGTGACCTTCTGGGTCTCTCTTTATGTCCTTTTTTTTGAAGTCTATTTTGTCTGATACCAGTATTGCTACCCCGGCTTTTTTTTCCCCTGTCAATTTGCTTGGAAAATTTGTTTCCAGCCTTTCACTTTCAGCCTGTGTAGGTCTTTTATTCTGAGGTGGGTCTGTTGAAGGCACCATATGTGTGGGTCATGATTTCTTATCCATTCAGCTATTCTGTGTCTTTTGATTGGATCATTTGATTCATTTTTGTTTAAGGTTATTATTGATTGTTACTTATTCATTGCCATTTACGTACTTGTGTTCCTCTCTCTCTCTCTCTTTTCCTTCTTTTCCTTAAAGCAGTCCCTTTAGCATCTCTTGAAGAGCTGGTTTGGTGGATGTGTATTCTTTTAGACTTCTTTTGCCTGAGAAGCTTCTTATTTGGCCTTCTATCTTTATTGAGAGCCTTGCTGGGTAAAGTAGCCTTGGTTGCAGACCTCTGGTTCTCATTACTTGGAATATTTCTTGCCAATCTCCTCTGCCTTGGAGTCCTTCCATTGAGAAGTCAGCTGCTGGCCTTGTTTGGGCTCCCTTGTATGTTACTTCCTGTTTCTCCCTTGCTGCCTTTAAGATTCTCTCTTTGACTTGAAATTTTGCCATTTTAATTATGATGTGTCTTGAGGTGGGTCTCTTTGGGTTCCTCTTGATTGGGACTCTCTGTGTTTCCTAGATTTGTGTGAATTTTTCTCTCATCAAGTTAGGGAAGTTTTCCATCATTACTTTTTCAAATAGGTTTTTGATCCCTTGCTCTTCTTCTTCTCCTTATGGTAACCCTATTATACAGCTATTATTACGTTTCATATTGTCTTGCATTTCTCTTAATCCGTCTTCATTCTTTCTGAGCCTCTCTTCCTTTTCTTGCCTTTTCTGTGTGTTTTTTTCTACTTTGTCCCCCAATTTGCTGATCCAATCTTCTGTTTCATTGATCCTGCTTTTGATTCCTTCTACTGTGTTCTTCAGTTTAGAAATTGTATTCTTCATTTCCTCTTGGCCCTTGTTGAGAGTTTCTATTTCCTTTTTCATGTTGACACAGTTTGCAGTGAGTTCATTGTATCTTCCCTGTAGTTTCTGGTAGCTGGTTATGAGCTCATTGAACTTCCTGATAATCATTGCTTTGAACTCAATATCTTTTAGTTGAGTTGCCTCTATTTTATTTAGCATTCTTTTTGAGAATTTCTCCTTTCCCTTCATTTGGGCATTGTTTCTTTGTCTTCTCATTGTTTGTGAGACTCTTCTTGTTAGCCTCTGCTTCTTAAATTGATCTGTTCTGGCTGCCTGGGTTTATGGTGTGAACTTTTGTGGTGGAATACCTGTGAGTTTCAGTGGTGCAGTCTCCTTCATGTATCCTCGTGTTCACAGCTTCCACCTATTCATTTTTGTGATCAGTTGGAGATAAGGCAAAATGGTTTAAGACAGCAAGAGAGTATTCTATGGTATTGACAGTAGCAACCAGTAGAGAAGAGACAGGAGATCCTTTGGCTATGTATAGTGTTAATTGTGATATTACACCGAACTAGCCACTTTTTAGAAAGGATGGAAAGAAAATAAGACTCCTTTGGGGGGAGGGAAGAATTGTGAATTGGATCTAGAAATCAGTGAGGTTGTTGGAGGTCAGGTTCTGAGGTAAGGTGAGACTAAAGATTAGCAAATAGGTGTAGTGTGTGAGAGAATAGAGTTAACCACTGCAGTAATAGAGTTCAGGAAACCATCAAGTGGGCTGAGATCTGAGAGGGGTGTTGTGTAGTATTTACAATTGTCTGGAATAGCTATTATTTACTGTAATATTAGAACAACAATTATATGACTTACTCTATGAGATCTAGATAACAAGAATAGGGAGTATAGAACCTTGAGTAGTGTTCTAATTTAACACAAATGAAGTGAAGGGCAGTAAATTACCAATACACTACGAATGAGTTAACAGGGGAAACCTGTCAAATGATACAATATAACCAGCCAAGCAAAGCAGACTATACAGAAAGAAGAGGAATACCAAAATACTATTAATATAAAAAATGTAAGAATAAAAAAAATAATACAAATATGAAATAACTTGTAAGTTCAAGGAAAAAAGAAGAAAGCATAAGATGGAAGGAAGAAGAGATAAAATTGGAAAGGAAGAGGTAATAACACTAGAAAAAAGAAAAGAGAAGCAAAAGGCATTGAGAGATATAAAAATAATAAGAACTAAAAAATAAAAAGTTACTTTAAAAAATCAAATAATCAGACAAGAAAACCTCTTGTGGGTTTCAAACTGGCCAAACTGGTTTTTCTGGTCTTGCTGGCTTCAGCAGGCTGAGGGGCGATTGGTATCATTTTTCTCCCTCCCCGTTCACCACTCAGTCAGCCTCACACATACTCTCCCCAAGGCTAGCTGCACACTCTTCCCAGAGCCAGTCTTGTGCCTCTCCACAGGGCCTTGGGTGTGGGATCTGGGCCCTCCTAAGCAAGCTCTCCTAAGTTCAGGGCTGTGGGCTCCTGGGATCCTGCAGAGCATGTGCGCCTTCCCCGGGTTCAAGGCTGTGAGCTCCAGGTCCTCCACAAAACCCACTCTCCCCAGTTTGCCAGCACGGCCAGGCTGCCCTTTGTTGCACAGGCTCCAGCGCACACTCTTCCCAGGGCTATGCGTGGGTGCTCACAGCCCCTGTGTGATTGCCACTCAGTCCTCACTCCCCTCTCTGTTCCTTCAAGCTACCAGGCCTCCCCTGTTTTGCTCAATCTTTGTTTGGCTGGGGAGGGAGTGGTTGACCCAGCTCTCTCCCAAGAACCCTGAGGCAGACCTGGGAGCGCCCATCCTGGGGCTGCAACTTCCCTGGTCCCTGCTCTGATCTCTGGGCCCTTATTATCCTGAAGCACTCTCCTTACCGTCTGGTTTTTCAATGTCCGCTACAATTTTTGATCTCCTATTTTCATATATGCTATGGCACTGTTGGCTATTTGCTCTGTTCCTCCGTAGATCAGCTAAGTTTTTCTCCCATGTGTAGAGGGAAGTGGAATCTGGTCCCTCCTACTATGCTGCCATCTTCCCCTCTCACTATGTCTCATTCACTTTTCAAGGAAAGGCACAGAAGGAAAAAGACAAGGCTAGTGATAATATCACCCAAGAATTTAAGAAAAGGAAAAAGAAGCACTCAGATCAGTAAACATGCTACTATTAAAAGCACACAGAGGAGAAAATTGTTCACATGTCAGAAATGGTAGAGAAAAGGAAATAGCCCTTAGTGAAATACAAATCCTCAAAGTCAGGACAAAACTTGTTACAGCACTTGGCTAATCAGAGGCCTTACAAAGCTTATTGGTGAGTCTTGAGGAAACTCTGTGGCTTTATCTTTTCTGGCTAGTTTCTTTAAAAAAAATAATTTCACACACTTCCTTGGGAAACTAAAAGGAGAGATGTGGCCAGGACAAGGTGGTGCCATGGCTGGCAAGCTTCAGGATGTAGACAAGATGTGCTCTGCCAAGATGCCAGAGGAGCCCAAGAAGTCTGTGGTGCCTTTGTCCTTCCCAGCGGGTCCACCCCCCACCAAGGTTGTGACTTCATCCTCATCCAGTGACAGCAGCAGTGACAGTTCCTCAGAGAATGATGACAGCTCAAGTGATACCTCCAAGAAAGAGGTAGCCCCAGAGGTGTTGGAGTTCCAGGAGCAATTTCAAGTTGTAAAAGAGCAGTTTGCAGCTGTCTCACAGGCCAAGAAAGATGAAGCAGAGGATGAAGAGAAAGACAAGAAGGAAATTAAAGAAGAAAAGGATGAAGAGAAAGAGGAAGTAGAGGAGAGTAAGAAAAGCAAGGGCAAGGAGTTTCCTTCCCCAAACACCAAGGAAAACAATAGTAGCAACAGTAAGATAAACAAGAAGGGGCCAGTGCCCATGAAGAGCCAGCCCCCTCCAGGGTATAAGTCAGAGGTGGAGGACGAGGGCAAGTCCATGTCCTACAAGGAGAAGTGCCAGCTTGCCCTAGACATCAGCAAGCTCCCAAGTGAGGAGCTGCACCACGTGGTATACATCATCCAGTTTAGGGAACCTTCACTCAAGGTGTTCAGCCCCAATGAGATTGAGGTCGACTTGGAGACCCTGCAGCTGTCCACCCTGCAGGAACTGCAGCACTATGTCATCTCCTGTTTGCAGAAGAAACAAATACCTCAAGCTGAGAAAGCAGATGTGATTGTTGACTCCAACAGAACAAAGGACTTATCCTCGGAGTTGGAGAGCACCAACAAGTCCAGCTCCACTAAGAGTGAAGACTCCAAAACATGTCATGCCTAATCATTGGACATGGACTGTTAATAAAATGGTTGTCTCAGATTCCTTCCCAGAAAATTCTAGCTTAAGTCAATTTTCTTCTGTGAAAGGACAGGACTCCATCAAGTTATAGAATTCCTCAGAGCCCTGGGCCTTTGGCCAGGGTGCATTAGTCATATCCAGCAGGGCAGCACACATGATGTCCTGCCTCCAGGAAGCTGCTTGCCTGGCTGGCCACCAGGGCTTCCTTTGTACAGACTGCCTGGCTAACCCACCCAACTTATTTGGCCATCTGGGCTCCTCCAGGTAGATGGCATCTCCCAGAGAGTGATGACAATGCCCCTGCACACACATACATGTGGTGTTGCTCTATGTGCAAGGACCCATCACAAGTATGTTTTTTCTCTCTTTATCCTTCCATCTTTTTCTGGGACTCTGGATCCTAACTGCTTCCCTCCTGGACCTGGCAATGATGTTAGTCCAGGGAAGATCTCATTCAGTCTAAGGAAGAACATCCACAGCTTTCCCAAGTGAGGAATGGGGGCTGACTCACAGGCCCCTGGAGTCCAGTTTTTGCTGTGGCCTGTTGACCATTTCCCCAATTTCTTTGGCCTCTTGTAAAGTCACATAGGGAAAGGACTTCCTGGGCTGCCCTCCGTGCCTCCCATGTGAATAGAAGCAAACTGCAGTAGGCAGAAACTATGGGGGCAGGCCACCGGTAAGGGCATTTGGGGAGGATTGCTGTGTATCCAGCTGACCTGGCTTCCAGAGCCCATCATCCCTGCCCTGAGTGGGGTCAGGGTCTGGGCTAGTGGGTGAGAAAGGGCTCTTAAAATCAGGAGCACTGGTGGTGAGTGTATCAGAGCCCTCAGTGCCAGCTCCCTGCACATTGCTGAGGGACATGACCAGTATGAGAATGCTCCTAGTTTGCAGTCTGATGCAATAATGCCAGCAGCCGGGAGTTGGGCAAGCCAGGGTGGTCATATCATCAAAGCCCTCTGAAAGGCACTGAATAGGTTTTTTTGATCTAAAAATTGATATTGACCCTTTTTTGGTCACGAATCCAGCATCTCAGCAGAAAACTGCCTGAGGTGAAAAGTACCCTAAGGAGCAGCATCTGCCTTTTAGGGAGCTTTTTTTTTTTCTTTTAAAGTGTAGTTTGTGCATACTTCAAAGCCCAGCCATCTGCTGTCACCTCAGAGCTAGCCTTCTGGAATTGGAAGCAGGCTTGAGGAGGTGCAGTTCACCATCAGCAGGCCTGAGCAGCTGTAAATGCCTCAGATCTACCTTGGTCTTGGGTTCTAGCTCCAGCAACCCTGCACACACCCCATAGCCTCTAGGGTTGTACAGTGTGTGCTCAGAGTCCCAAGCTACAACCTGCTTCTCTGGCCAGTCAGCTTCCAGTCAAGCGCCATTTGTCAAACAGACTATTTTGAGCTGCCCTTTGACCTGTGCATGGCGTGTTCCCAGGACAGCTCAGTTTAGCTGAAGCTAGGGGACTGCATGCCTGGAGATTCCCACAGGACAGTTGGGAAGTGGCTGGCATTGTTTTTCTGGGAAGATTTTGCCATCTTGGAAAACATGGCAGCCTGGACTTCTACCGTGTCAGCCTGTGTGCCATTCCACCCCTTTCTATATGCTTGTAGATGGGCTGTAGCCACAGACCAGCTCTCCTTCTAGGGTCCTTATACCCTCACTGTCTGGGGATATTGTCCTTCTTGCCTATAGGTTCCCTACCCATCAGAGAACTTTTTTAAAAAACATATTTTATTGATTATGCTATTACAGTTGTCCCATTTCCCCCCTTCACTCCCCTCTACCCTGTATACCTTCTCCCACCCATATCCCCCCTTTAGTCATGTTCATGTGTCATACTTATAAGTTCTTTAGCTTCTACATTTCCCATACTATTCTTACCCTCCCCCTGTCTATTTTCTACCTATCATCTAGCTACTTATTCTCTGCACCTTTCCCCCCTCTCTCCTCCCACTCCCCTATTGCTAACCCTCCATGTGATCTCCATTTCTGTGCTTCTGTTCCTGTTCTAGTTGTTTGCTTAGTTTCTTTTTGTTTTGCTTTAGGTGTGGTTGCTAATAATTGTGAGTTTGCTGTCCTTTCACTATACATGTTTTTTCTTTATCTTCTTTTCTTAGATAAGTCCCTTTAACATTTCCTAAAATAAGGGCTTGGTGATGATGAACTCCTTTAACTTGACCTTATCTGAGAATCACTTTATCTGCCCTTCCATTCTAAATGAAAGCTTTGCTGGATAGAGTAATCTGGGATATAGGTCCTTGTCTTTCATTATGTTGAATACTTCTTTCCAGCCCTTTCTTGCCTGTAAGGTCTCTTGAGAAATCAGCTGACAGTCTGATGGGAACTCCTTTGTAGGTGACTGTCCCCTTATCTCTTGCTGCTTCTAGGAGTCTCTCCTTCATTTTTACCTTGGCTAATGTAATTATGATGTGCCTTGGTGTGTTTCTTCTTGGGTCCAACTTCTTTGGGGCTCTCTGAGCTTCCTGGATTTCCTGGAAATCTATTTCCTTTGCCAGAATGGGGAAGTTCTCCTTTATTATTTGTTCAAATACATGTTTAATCTGTTGCTTTTCCTTTTCCCCTTCTGGTACCCCTATAATTCGGATGTTGGAATGTTTAAAGATGTCCTGGAGGTTCCTAAGCTTCTCTCGTTTTTTTGATTTTTATTTCTTCATTCTTTCCTGTTTGGTTGTTTTTTTCTTTCTTCTGGTCCGCTCTATTGTTTTGAGTCCCAGTTTCCTTCCCATCACTATTGGTTCTCCGTGCATCTTCCTTCATCTCTTTTATGGTAACCTGCATTTTTTCATCTAATTTGTGCCCAAAATCAACCAATTCTGTGATCTTCCTGATAACCAGTGTTTTGAACTGTGCAGCTGATAGACTGGCTATCTCTTGGTCGCTCAAAAGGATGAGTCCTGGGGCATTGATCTGTTCTTCTGTTTGAGACATGTCTCTCTCTCTCTCTCTCTCTCTCTCTCTCTTTTTTCTTTTTTTTGGTCTGGTTGCTCCTGTTATGGTGAGGGGCAGAACCTTAGGTGTTCACCAGGGCTGGGCACCCCAGTCACTAGATTGTGACGTTGTATGTGGGGGCGGGGGTGGGGGCAGGAGGGAACAATGGTGGTAGCTTCATTCTCCTGGGACCTCAGTCCCTTCTCTGGGATCCTGGGTTGCATGCTCTGCCCTGGTCCACAATCACCGCCTCACTGGGTCTACCAGCTGCCGCTTTCGTACTCAGGGTCCACCCACTGCGATCTTGCGTGCTCCCGATCGCCTAATGTGCCCAACTCTCCCTGTTCTTCTCGCGGTGACCCAGCGCCTGGCTGCTTGTCTCCGCCCCTCCTACCAGTCAGGATGAATGGGTCTACTTCAACTTCTTGGCTGTCAGACTTCCATTCAGATAAATTCTCTACCAGTTCTGGGTGTTATTCTACCTCTAAATTGTTGTTGTTCTAATCTTGGTTGTGTGTGGAGGTACAGTGCGTCCACCTATGCCTCCATCTTGCTGGAAGTGATCCCCATCAGAGAACTTTATCTTTAGACTTGAGCTATTACCTGTGCCTAATACCCCAGGAGGAAAGCAGAGGGCAGTGCCCACTTCTTTTCATAGCTCCCTGTGCTCGGGCAGTGGGAGGTCACAGACAGGCCTCAATTCACCAGTGGGCCTCAAATCTCTGCGTGGTTACAATTCCCCTCTTTCTTTTGATTATTTCTCAATCTTGAGGAATAATAGGGCAAGGGGATCCAGCCTTAATCTAGAGGGAGGATTAGCTTGTAAGATGGAGTCAGATTTGTCTGCCCATCGTGGCTCTCTTATCAGGCTCTTACAACCTCTTACATTCACCTCTTCTGTGATTGTCCCTGAACCTCAGAGGGGGTATTCTGGGTGTTCAATTTACAAGCAGGAACCACAGTAATAGTAGAAGAAGGTAGGCCAGGATACCTGTACCATAAGTAATAATCAGAGCAAACTACAGTTAGTCTCTGAGTCCTTAACTCTGCCATTTGAGAAGACCTCTGGATGAAATGCTCAGAGCTTCATTTTTTGCCAGAATGAAGGCAAGCAATGACAATTCAACAGATCTCTCTGGCTGGAAGTCCAAACATCCCTAAAGAAAGTCCTGACACCAGCTCAGGCAAGCTCTCTGTGTGGCATATGCATAGCAGTCACCAAAACCATCTAAGCATGAGCTGTTGTGATAATTACTCTGAAGTTTACATTTATGTGGTCTAGCAGGATCTACAATTACAAGCCTTAGGGAAAGAGAAATAGTTTTAGTTCTCAATAATTCCAAGGCAATGGATGAAAGAGAAATGAAACACTAGTTCAGAGGGTTTTAGCTAGAAAAATTTAGGATCCAGTCCAGTCCACATGCAAAAAATAAGATTTTTAAAGACCATTAACTAAAGTAGGATTTAGTATCCATAATCAGGCATTATACTTTCGATTGAAACAATTTTTTCTCTAAAATCACCCTATTTTACCAAAGATAGCCAAGTTAAGACTAATTTATTGTAAAAATCTAGTTTTCCATATTCTTCAGTTTACTCGTAGTCTGAGTTGGGGCTTTACCAATGACTTTTGGTATCACAGTTCGGAATTTCCATGTCAAGGAGTCCTGGAAAATTCTCTTTTCTATACCCTGACCATTTTCTCATTCTTGAGTAAAAAGGCTTTGGTTCCTCATCAAGACATCAAGCCAAGGGACCCCAGCTCTGCTATTAATCTTTAACTTGATTTAACTAGCCTGACTAATGCCCCCAAGCAATTTCTGGTCAGGTTTCTCATTGTAATCTCTTCCTTCCAGTCTTTTAAATTTCTCCAAACTGGGATAAATCAAAGAGACTTGTTTGAGGCTCTTAAGGGGCCAACAAGGAGTCAATTTGGCCTCATATAGCCTTTGGTAGTGCTATACTAAAACTTTTGTCCCAATCTTGTTAATGTTTGTTTTATTTAGCTTAATTTTTTTCTTTCATAGGTTCATAGCTAA